CATCTGGGAAGTGGGTGTATAGTTGAATAAGATGGTTTGGGATGTTCTGTGTGATATACACACATACACACACATATACCACATACACAAAATCAACAAATTGAAAAAATGTATTATATTTGAGGAGGAAACATGGAAATTTATGTCATGCTAATAAGTAAAGGTGATAAACATTATCACTGAAATCTACCCGATGACTTTATAGACATACACAGGCACCAAGGATCCAAGTGCAACCGATTATGACTAGTAATAATCAGATACATACAACCCTGTAATCATTTCTTTATTCAGCAAATGCTAACAAGTCTCTTGTTTAGGAGACTCGGGTCAAAGACCTATATATTTGAGTTCCCCTGCATGCTAGGCACAATTCCAAGTCTTATTTACATTGTGTCATTTAGCTTAGCACCATGAAAGAAGCGCATATTGACCTAACTGCCGAGATGTTAGAACTCAGGACTAAGAGGCCAGCTCATGTCACCAAGCTGATGAGCAGCAGGACCCATGTTCAGACACAGGACTCCAGCTCCTAAGCTGATATCCCTTCTTCTCTACCACCAGCTGTCTCTGCTAGCACACCCCAGTAGGATGGAGAGTGATGTGCAGTGAAGTTATTATCATGTAGTTATTAAAAATTAGAAAAATGATTAAAAATAATAATAATTCTTCAAAGCATAAAAATTTGCTCCTTAATAATTAGTAGATGTGAAAAACATTACCACAGAAATCTACCTAACAACTTTATATCCATGTTCAGATGACAAGGAGCTCAGAAAGTAACCAACTATGACTAGTAATTATCAGATATATAGAGATTAAAAATGCACGTGCAAACATCTTAATGTCAATTGCATTAAAAATGAATTTTTCTGTTGATGACCTTATATCCATGCTCAGGTGCCAAGGATCTCAGAAAGTAACCGACTCTGACTAGTAATACTCAGGTACATAGAGATTAGAGATGCATATGCAAACATCTAAGTGTTGGTAGCATTAAAAATGATATTGTTTTCTGTATGAAACAATATATTTTAAAATGAAATGCAGATGTTTCTTAAAGGTTAAAACCTCATTCAATTTTATGTCTTATGGGCTTTATACAGAGTTCAATATTGTATAACTGTATTAATTCAACTGTGAACCTAAAAATTTACAGTCAATTTTGAAAGAGATATATCTTAGCTCTGGAAATTGTTATTGAATATGTCAATGCTGTTGTAATGAAATGCTTCTTCTAAGTATGTGGTTATTAAATAAATAATTAAAAAATAAACTTAATTCACTTAATTGTAAAAAATATTTTATTATTTTATTTTTATTATTATTTTTATATTTATTATTTTTATTTTATGTGTATAAGTGTATTGCCTGTATGCATGTAAGTGCACCTGTGTTGTGCAATGCCCATGAAGGTCAGACGAGGGCATCAGATCCCCTGGAACTGGAGTTACAGATGGTTGTTAGTCACCATGTGGGTGCTGGGATCTGAACCCCAGGTCCTCTGCAAGAATAGCCAGTGCTCTTAATTGCCAAGTCATCTTTCCAGCCCCACTGAATTTTTTTTTTAAAGAGCAATGGTATTAAAGATAGGAGTAGCAAATAGAAAGTTGTGAAAAATACAGTTGTTTCTAAGGATTTTGTCTACTTAAAACTTCTCTCCAGAATCTACCAGAGAAACTATGGACAGTAGATGGTGGTAGGCATTCATTTAAGGCCTGCCAGTCGCCACTGTGCAGTGCCCCTGAAGTGCCCACATGAGCTGAGTACCAAGGACCTTATCTTGAGGAAACAAGATAGTTAAAAGGAAGAGTTGTCCTTTAAACAATGTTATTCAGAAGCCTACAAGACAACTAGTCCTTTCCTTCTTCTCTTCTCTTAATCACCAAAGGGAAGGTACTACTTTTCAATTCTCCTGTCCCAAAGGAGGCAGTCACAGACAACACAGTCCTTCCCAGGACACTGTCTTATTTCCTCTGTAGTCCCAAGTGCTGTGAAACGGGGTGATCTCTGCTTGGCTGGAGAGTTGAGCTGCTACCACAGGAACTAAAACCTAGGGCTATGCAAATGTTCTGATGTGTTATGCAGAAGTAAGCCCCAGTCCTGGGTCCAGGCCTGACTTCTGGTTTGATCAGAGCAGTTTATGTTCAATGAGATGGGAGGACTAATGAACGGTTTTTACCAACTCTGTGCAGACTAAGGTTCTTCCAGAGTTAGTAAGCTTTTGTAGTTTATAGTTCTAGCCAATACACTTGAAAAAAGTGATCTATGCTATGCCAGAAAGGGAAATATTTAACTAAAATTTAAAGGCCAATTATACAAGGATATTTATTAGTTGGGATAACCTATATTCTAAGGACAGATTGAGAGCCACAAAGATGTATACAAAGTTAGTTCAACCACAGATTCTGTAATATTGATTTTGTTGAACTGTTAATAACTGCTTCTAAATTATAGTGCAGATAGATAAAGAACCAATATAAATTACAGCCCAAGGGAAAGAAAGGAAAGACTTAGGGGGTAAAATTTAAGGGCTGGATGTGTTCCCTGGACTGCTGAAAATGGGTGGCCACACAGGCCGGTGTTGAGAAAATGTAAGAAATACAAGACCAGCTGCTGTTCCAAAGCCTGCTGCTTCATTTGAAACTTCAGAAAGGCTCCTAAGTAAGCTTGATGGCGCAGTAGGTCAGCTGACAAAACTTTTCAATTACCCAACAGATACCCGACATAAATGTTCCATTTCCATCCCCATCACACTAGGGGGAAATGCTGAAGTCCCATTTCTTAAAACCACAATAAAACAGCACAATACGTATATCACATCTCACACTGCAAAAGGATTCTTTCTTTTAGAAAACCCATACGCATCTAATTTTTCACCTTGTTTATAGCATTACAGATGCTAAAGCGAAAGTAGTGTTTCTGTTATAGCTCACAAAACATAATGCCAGGAAGTAATTACACACAAGCTATAGTTTATAGAGGTACAGGAATCAAAACATACGGGCAAGGAAATGCTACAGAGTTACAGCAGTTACACTGAGCCCAGGAGAGTAAGACGTTTTAACAGACATAGTTAGAAAACCAAGTGAATCTCCTGCTTTCAGCTATTCAATTTTAAACCGTAACGTGATGACGGTGATGTGCCAGAATGAAATCCTCAGCGTCTTTGTAAGATCAACAGGTACTAATGCAGAGAACCAAGATCCTTTGAAAATCTTAAAGGTAAAGTACCTGCTGTGACTTTAACATCATCATCTCTGAATTCTGGCTTTACTGAACTATGTACTATAGGTTAAGTCCCTCTGAGAAGTCCACCATGGAGCTATCTGAAATTTGGGAATAGTCATATAAAAATTTAACATTTAAATTGAAATTTGGGACATAAGTCATATAAAAATTTAACATTTAAAGTGACTCTGAGAATAGAAATAGGAAAAAAATTATCTTAGAAGAAAGAATAAAAGTTTCATATATATCTGCATACAAGGGTATGAACATAAAGGTCTTTGCTGCAGCACCACTTACTGTAACGAATTGGAAACAACCCAAACACTACTGAAAAGAACTGTTTGAATAAATTATCATAAAGCTATGCTAACAATTTTATGCAGCAGTCAGAAAATAATGAAGTAGATGCTGACACAGCAATTTTCTAAAATATGTTAACTTTGAAAAAATCAAATTGTTAGAAACATATGCATGTTTCTTTATAAATATACATGATACATGTACATGTATACATTGATTCCCACTTATTCTAAATATTATTTGGATATATCATAAATGTGCATAGAAAGTGGGCTAGGACAGACATTGAACCATGGGATTCTTTAATAATAGTTATCTATGGGATAAAGGCAGAAACCACTGATTTTTATACTGTTGAAAAATAGTGACAGGAAGGGGCTCAGCAGTTAGGAATGCCTGCTACTGTTCCAGAGACCCAAGCTCTGTTCCCAGCACCCATGTGGGGCAGCTGACAATTGTCTGTAACTGCAGCTCTGGGGGGTCCAACACCTCTGACCTCTGTGGGTACCCATACACAGGTGTATACCGCCACACAGACATACATGCACACATGATTAAAACTAATAAAAATAAATCTCTTTAAAATGGTGACTTGAGTTACTTGTATAATTCTGTTTGTCTCCCTCTAGCCCCATGTCAGGTGTCTTTCAACTGCCTATAACACAAACTCCAGAAGATCTGAAGCCCTCTTCTGGCCTCAAAGGCATAGAGGTGCGCGTGCGCATGTACACATACACACACACACACACACACACACACACACACACACAAAAAAAAAAAAATTTTTTTAAATGAATCTTTTAAATAAAAGAATAGCACTGAAGCAAAACTAAGAACAAAGGGGAATGCAGCATTTAAACATATTTTTTTCTTAAACATTCTTTACTATTTCCTTCATTTTCCTGTCGGAATAAAGATTTCATTCAATTTTAAGTTCATGTCCTGTAAAAACTACTACTAAATAATGTCTTCCTTAGATTAAAAAAAATATTTTATTTATTATTTTATGTGTATGAGTGTAGTGCCTGCATGTAGGTAAGTGCACCCGTGTCGTGCAATGCCTGCGCAGGACAGAAGAGGCCATCAGATCCCCTGGAACTGGGGTTATGGACAGTTGTTAGCTGCCATGTGGGTGCTGGGAATTGAACCCAGGTCTTCTGCAAGAACAGTCAGTGTTCTTAACCACTGAGCCATCTCTCCAGCCCCTAGAATTTCTTTTTAATTACAAAAATTGCCAGGGTTAAAAAATATTTTATTTATTATTTTTATTTTATTTGTAGAGTGTTTTGCCTGCAATGTAGATAAATGCACCACATGCATGCAATGCCCGCAGAGGCCAGAAAAGTGTGTTGGAGCCCGTGGAACTGGGGTTACAGGTGGTTGTTAGCTGTCATGTGGGCGCTGGGAACTGAATCCAAGTCCTCTGGAAGAGCAGCCAGTGCTCTTAATTATTAGCCATCTCTCCAGGCTCCATCAGGATTCTTTTTTTAAGGACAAGCTTGTAAAGCCTATTATTTCGCTTAAGAAACAAGGCAGTTGGGATGGCAAGTGGGTAATAGTGCTTGTCACGCAAGCCTAATGGCCTGAATTTGATCTGTGGAACCCACAGATCCCATATAAAGGTAGAAGGAGAGAATCGACTCCACAAAGTTGTGTTGTGACCTCCACACGCACACCATGGGATGTCCAGGTACAAACATACACAGGCACAATAAAAATGAGAAATAAACATTTTAAAAAAGAAATAAGGGAGTCCAGACACTGAGACGTCCCTGGGTGCTCTTTCCTGATCCATGCCTTTGTTAATCGGCATCCTAAGTAAACCATTGATCACTTTTCTTGCATGTGCACAATCATAAAAAATAGAATAAGCACCGTATTGTGCTTTTCCATACGGTCCTTTTTTGTAACAGGGCTGCTGCTGTGCTGGGAAAATACCAAGACAGTACACAAGCACACAGGTGTGGCTGAGTTCCTACAAAACGTCACTCAGAAACAGAGGGGTCAGGCCACCTGGGCCCTTGCTCATCTCTGCTTTATAACCATGAATCATACTGTTCCTGCTGTGTACAACTATCTTTGTCACTCAAAATTATGTTTCTGAGATTTATCTGTTATCTTATAGTTGTTCTTTGACAATCCAAACTGCGACACTGAAATGAGGTAAACCGGAGCAAGGCTCCTCAGCCTTCTCCTAGGATCATCGGTTCACTTTGTAAAGTCCAGTTTTAGCAAAGAGCCTTATAATCATTTTAGTGAGAATTCTCCATCTTCCATGTCTGATCATCTCCTACACCTGAGTAGGCTCTTCTTCCTGTCACCAGCTCCACCCACCCTGGGGTTATGTCTTCTTATCCAGGCTTGTCTTCAACAAGAATCCTGCTATGTTGGTTTGGCCAGAATCCCTTTAACCCTCAATATTTCCTCTTGATAGTTTCCCATCCACTGATCCCCTTACCCTACCCTTCTCCTTAACTGCCAATACCTGCTTGACCAGGCTGTGTTCAAAACTGAGTTCAAACTCTCTCCCCTATGCAAAATCCCATTGCAATGGTCTCCATACCCACTCTACAGTCCTGGATAAAGTTGGCCTTATCGTTGTACCAATTTATACCCTTCTCAGACCTGGCAGGCATCACCAGTCCTTGAGCTTTCTGTGCCATTCCAAGGGAAGTAAAGGGGTGCTTCCTTATTCAGCCCCTAGATGAACTGAACCCAGGGCTCTACTGCACACCAAGAAGTGTTCTAAGATACAATAAACCATACCCAAACTAGCACATCTTCATGTTTGGAGGGCCAATAATCCTTTTTATTGCTTAAGTTTCACATTTGGGGAGCTCCTTGACCAATTTTACTGAGTTATTTTTAAGTACAGTTTTTAATTCATCCTGGACACTAGCCTTTGTCCATTATGCACTACATGTGGCCACACTTTTTATGTTTCTGACATAGTCACAAAACTAAATTTTAAGCCTTTATTTAGTCAAATTCACTGATCTTTTTCTTTATGATTTATACTTGTCAAGCTTGAAGAATTCATTTCATATCCCAACATCACAAAGGCATTCTTATATATATTTCTTCAAAGTGTTTCAGTTTTACTTCTTTCATGTTTTTAGATTCTTACATCATAAAGGTTCATGTAGATTTTGTTTTATTTATATTTTTAAATGTTTTTAAAATGTGAAAACGTCTCAATGTCAATTGCTTTGGAATGAATTCTTCTGT